TACAGTTTAAAAGAAACAAAAAGTGTTTCTAATCCTTTGTGCCTTCCTTGCAGTCTGGAAGTCTTCCACTGCTTGTCTGGCACTATCTTGGAATATCAGCTCTAGACACAGGTCAGCATTTTGGCCACTGAGACATGGATCCGAGTTAAACAATTATCTTGTCTGGGTCAACATGTGCCTCCTTTCCAAAAGTGCCTTCCAGTTTTACAGGATTTGATTTTGGAACACTTTTCATCTCATTTTCAGCAGCAAGAAGCTCCATCAAACAATACTGCTCACCTCACTTGTGATTGCTGGGGGTTGTTCATGCACCCAAAATTAAAGACAGTGATAGTGTAGAAACTGGGGGCATTGTTTTTGTCACCTTGTGTAAAGAATTGCTGCTCAGAAGCATCCTGTAAGGCTTTGAGAGCATTTGCATTGTGCTTTGAACAGGAAAGTAAGAGTAAATTGTGTTTATTGTACCTAATAGGTGTTAATTAGGATCCCATTCATAAGCTCATTTTCTTTCCTGGTTAGCAGTATGCTGAGCCAAAACCTTGGCAAAATACGAGTTGTGATGCTTCATTGAAAGTCAGCCTATTTAGAGGCAAGCCTGTGTGTTATGAGGTCTCTTGCTCTTCTCCCTTAAGGGTATTTATTCTTCCTAAATTGTTATTCATAGTCCCCTCATTTTGACAGAAAAATTGGTTTCATGGTGGTTTAATTCTGCTGCTAGAAAGAAGAGGTTCTTCTTTCCAGTAGGCAGCAGAAACTTAATTCATCTCCAGGAGAAATAAGTGTTTCTTTCCTTGAATGCAGACAAGGTGAAGGAGTGAATGTGTAGGGAATGAACAAGCTTCTGCAGAGTTGTTCCATGGTGGGAAGGACATCTTTATTCATTGGATTCTCTTTATGCTTTTGAGCTTTGGATGCTCCTCTTGCAGGTGATAACCTGAGGGTTTGAGTTGGGGGAGTGTTGTGAGCCCACAGGAGGTCATGGGGCAGGATCATGCAGATTTTAGCAGCAGTGGTGATGCAATAGCAGCCCCAGAGAGAGCTCCAGTTTTGCTGCCTGTGGGCAAGGAGCTGGCTGGATTAACTCTGCCTTCTCCTCATTTCCAGCTGCAGCACTGAGCTAAGGAACCTAACACAGATCCCTTCACTGAGCCATGCCTGAGCTCCACACGCTGCGAGTCCGTGTGGGGATGGAGTCCCAGGGAAGGGCAACACAGTCCTGGAAATGTGTGAAAAGCTGGGAAAGTTGGGAAGGGCCAGGATCAGAGCCAGAGTCTGGCTTTAGCTGGAGCAGGCAGTGACACAGGAGCCTGTGGCTGTGACACTGAGCAGAGAGCTCTGAGCAGCTCTGGTTCAGCTCGTCTCCCAGCAGACTTTCAGCAAGACATTTAATCCCTTTCTGTTCCTCATCTTTCCACCTAGAACTGAGTGATAAAACTTCCTTTATCCCCAAGCTCCCAGGAGTCTGTTTAGATGGTGAGATCTCTGAGGGAGAGAAAACACCTGGCACAGTGAGGCCCCTTTGTCAAATAGATGCCATTATAATCCCTGTAATCGGAAGCGCCGCTCACCTGCCGAGCACATCTCTCCCAGCTTAGGAGTTTCCAGATCATGACCTCTCCCAGGACTGGTTCCTAACAGCTGTGCAGACAAGCTTTCCTATCTCCCAGGAGTTTCTCAGAGTCTAAAATTTGCACCTTTATAACAATTTAATTTTATTTCAGTTTCTAAATTTTACTTTGCTGAATAAATTCCTTAAGGGTTTGGTTGAAAAAGCTTTTATTTTTTGCCTTCTTTTTTTTTCTGAAGTAATTTTAAATTTTTATTGAAACGCTACTTCTCAACAGCCATCTTACTTTAAAATTTTATTTTGCTCTTGGAAATATTTCAAACTGGGAGCTGATCCAAAGATGACCTTTCCCCACAGACAGTTTCAACAAATCAATATTTTTCCAGTGTGAAGTATCTATCACTGGAAAATCCTCACTGGCACTTTTTGAACGCTGTAGGGAAAGCTTTGCAGGCAGGGACCTGCCATCTGAAGGCTGGTTGCTGAATGCAGAATTAGCACTAACACAGTTCTTTTCATGGCTTCTTCTGTATCAATATAAGCTCTGAGCTGCCACTCACATACAACAACTTCCTTTCAAGTCCTGCCATTTCTCACTTGGATATTTCCCCACAAAGCTGGCTGTTTAAGCATTAAAAAGTCACTGTGACTGCTTTGCTGTTTAATGGGGAGTTTTGTTTGGGTTCCTATTGTAACTGAGGAGGATACATGATCTCTTTTGAAAAGAGCTATTAACATGATAAAACATCTTGGGAACATACAATCACAAAGCTGATGGTTTCATCTTTGCTGGGGTATCTGAACACTATTAAATGCAGGGGACTGGGCTAATGAAGGCCTGGGCTTTGTAGTGGTGTGGCACCAGAACACAAGAGCTCAGCGTTGTTACCAGACTTTTCTGTAACTGTTTCCTGAAATATGCTTTGCATTTAGGATTCTGAATCAAACACAGGGATGCTAAAAAAATCCAATGTTTTCCATACCTCAGAGATGGGAGATTTCAGAAAGGTTGGTGTTGCTGAGAGAGGTATTTCCTTTGTTTATCTCCCTACATTTATGTGTGTGTATATATGTATATGTAGGCATAAACACACACATACATATATACCCACACCACACCCACCTGTATGGGAATATTTACACCCTCTGTATCCCTGCTCTGGGCTGGTTTGCAGATGCAAGCACACATACTGGAGGTGATCTCTGTCCATTTCTTCCCCATGCCATGGCTCATACTTGGGCATGTGACCTGACTTTATCACCTTCCACATTCTTGTGGGCTATGGAGGGATTTTGGTTGCCAGCCAAAATTGTACAAAAAGCTGTTTCATTTTTATGGCTTTGTTTCTTCCACCACTCACTCTGTCTTCCCACTTCTACATCAAAGGGCAGAAATTGACCCTAATTCACATGCAGTTTATGATCCAGGGACCTGGATAAACACTGATCTTGCATAATGCACAGATATTTAGCAATGGTGCTCATATGTGTCTAGAACAACTTCTTTAGGGATGTAGCGAATTCCATCACATCTTCAGCCAGGATGTTCCTCTGACAGAAAGCAGAAGCAGAGGGTCTCCTTCTGGGGGCGGAACTTCTGTCTGGGTCATTCAAGAGATCTGGCTGGAGTGTTTCTCCTCATATTCTGCTCTGAAGCTGTGTGGTTGTATGCAAGAGAGAGGCTGAAGACTGTGAAAGTGGAAATACTTGTTGTCTGCATCTTTCATTCCCTAAGCTTCCCTTCATTTTACCTATCAGTATTGGCCCCAGCCTCAGTTTGGACGGAGGTTTTGCTGCCTTCACTTTATTGCCTAGATTTGTGTTCTTCCTGTAATGCTTATGGATGGTTAATTGAAGTACTTTTTTTATTTCAGTCCTCCCCAGAAGGCAGGGGGTTGAGAATCTGGGAGTTATAGGGTGGAACAGTGAATTTCTCAGAAAGCTCTGAATTTTCTGCCTTGTCAATCCTTCTGCCTCAGTATACCTATCAATAAAACAGTGTATGATGTCCTCATGGCTAATTAGTGCTTAAGTGCTTTCAGAGCTGTGGGTAAACCACTAATTAGTCACAGTCATTTAGTCAAAATTACTAAAGACTGATATTTTCCCATATGCTCTATTTGTTCAGAGAAAATGTCTTGAAAATTCATTGATTTAGGTTTCCCTGGAGTATTTGCTGTTGCTTGTTTGTTTGTTTTACAATGACTTTCTGCATTGTGGTTAATACAGATGCTGAATTGTGCTGTCTGCTTCCAGTTTTTGTGAATGTTCTTTGGGTTTAAATAGTGCAAAATCCTCTTTCCAGAAAGAAATGTGGAAATGGAGCAGGATGCAGATACTGCTGTGATAACTATTTTGTTTCAGTATGTTCTACATCATCGCTGGGACTGGGATTTATCTCGTCTGCACCCTCTCTTGTACAGATCTATCTTATAAAGACATGATCTGTTTTATAGAGACATACCAACATGCGTGCACACAAAACACACATGCACCCACAGTCTCTTACATTACATTGGGGAAGAACCATGAGGCTGAAGCATGTTGACTCAACTATTTAATGAGGTGCAATAAATCTTGACAAGACCAGCTGGCACTAGAGTTAGGTTTCTCATCTTTTTACCATTACATTGAAATGTGAACAATAGTGGAAAGAAATGTGACTCTTCTTTGTTGTTCTTTTGGTACTCAGCTATGTAGCACTGTACTGAACTCATCCACTTCCATGGAATGCAAAGCATGGTGGATGCTGTGGAAAATGTTATTGATGCAAAGGTTCCTTTTCCTGGTGCTTTCTCTTAAATTCTGAAAATGTTTTGATCTGACAGGTCACAATGTTGTGGTCAGCACTGAGATCCCTGCAGCGCACACTGGCTGAGCAGAGCAGCAGCACTTGGGAATGATCACCAGGATATTCCCAGTCTTTTACCCTGCCTGTCACCAAGTTCCTCTTTTGCTGTACAGCACACCATGACATCCTTTCCTCTTTCTCATTCTACCTTCTCCCCAGGGGCATTGCTGCCTGATTATTGCTACCACCAGCTGCAGTTACTTGAGTATCTTTTTCTAAAAACAGGAATAATTAAACATCTTGGACATCTAAGCATTTGGCATGGTTCTAAAGCACCCAATGTGGCCTCCCATATAGAATTCCTTTTTAATAGATCAGATTTATTCTTGTGAAAAGAAATCTGTTTAAATAGCACACTTTTTGTTTGGGGTAGGTTTTGTTCCTGTCAGTGGCATCCATCAATCTCTTTCATGTTTCCAGCCTCGCCACTTAATGCCAATCAACCCTTAAAAAATAATTGCTCCCAAACCAACTGGATGCCTCTGAATTCACTTGAGAAAGACTGAGCTTTGAAGTGTATCCCATAATGATGGCTGGCATCTCCAAAAGTATTAACTGCACCTTCTTGCTTTGTGATTGTAGCATTTGATGTGTGCTGGGCTCTGGTGCCTGGTGGAAGGAGACACATCCTGTAAAACAAAGTTGGACCCCCCTCTGGATGGCACCGAATGTGGCGCAGACAAGGTAATCAGAGTGCTCAGCAGCAGTCACTTTTTGTTTCCCAGAATTGGGAATAATGTTTCCAAGATGTTCTGTATTTGCCATAAACCCATAGCTGGTTGTGTTCTGGGTTGTATTTGAGGTAGAAAGTGTGCAGAGGATTTAGCCTGACGTTTGGGGAGTGGCAAAAGATGGGGAAGGGAAAAGAGGCTTCTTAAAAACCTAAAAGTTTCTACAAGTAGCTTAAAATAATTGAGCTCAAATACAGTGAAGTTCTGTTCTTTCTGAGGTATAATTTGCTTTATTTATTTATATGTGTATTTTTTGGAACTTGACTGGTTTGGTAACTCTCAGCCTCCTACTTACTGGTTTTGGACTCTAATTTTTTTTTGTCTATGGTATAGTTGGGGTGGTGAGAAAGGGTAAAATTAAAAAGCTGGTGGCTGAAATCAAGGATTGGAACCCTTTCTTTGCTTGCAAATAAAGTTAAACAATGACAAGAAAAACTGGGTCCTGGAAAAACCATGACAAGGAACTGGGAAAAAAAAAGGTTTTTAGGCCCATCTTTTTCTAACTGGAGGAGTCCTGGGGACTCTTTTGTAAGGTTTCTTAGCAGTGCTCACTGTGTCATATCCTGGACAGGCCAAGTTTGCTGCTTGGTCAGGAGCCAGAACAACCTATTAGAATCAGAGGGGTTTGGGGGTTTAGCCAAGGTAGGTCCAAAATACTTCAGTCATTTTATACAGACTGGGATCAGTGCTGATGAAGGCATTGCTTTGGGGTATAATTTCTTGGACTATGTTTCTGTGAATTGTGGGGCTTTAAGTCTTAGTGCTTAGATAATTATCTGCTTTATAAAGTAAGGGGCTCAGTCCTGTGATTGCTTTTTTAATGACAGAACTCCCTTCAGGGGCTTGTTGAGAGTGACGCTTACATTTCTACATTTCACCTCCTCCCTTCCTCCTTCTCCTACTGCCTTCTCACCAAAGCCTCGAATCCCTAGAACTCATAAACGTGGACTTGTTGCAATCCCTCAGACATCCTTTTAAATCCGCCTGTGCAAGGTCAGGACTTCTTCCCAGGCTGTGCTAACCTGATTGCCTTGCAGTGGTGCCGAGCTGGGGAGTGTGTCAGTAAAACCCCCATCCCTGAGCACGTGGACGGGGACTGGAGCGTGTGGAGCCAGTGGAGCATGTGCAGCCGGACGTGCGGAACCGGGGTGCGCTTCAGGCAGCGGAAATGTGACAACCCCCCGTAAGTCCTCACACCATCCTGGCTCCTTTTGCTGTACTGGCAGCCTTTTCCCTCTTGGGCAACCCTTGCTGCAAGAGTACAGGGAAGAAATGGGCAGCAGAGTTGTGCAGAAGCCCTGAGAAATTTCTCTTTCACAAGCTGTGATGACCAGGTTGGAATCATGGGGTGACTTGAAGTAGGTTCTGTGGAAGTGGCTTAAAGAGTCATCTTTGGAAGTTTCCCATTGCAGTGATTCAAAGGTAGATAGAGCTGAACTAGATACAAGTTTGGCAGAAAAACTGATGTTCTGTTTCCCCTCCAGCATCCCCTCCAGTGAATGAGGAGGGGCTGATCTGGATCTACAGACCAAAGTGAGCCAATGTGCCTTGGAGATGAGTTTTGCAGGGGATGCCTGCTCTGGGGTTGGGGAGCAGTGCAGTAGTTGACAATGATCAGAGTGTCCCAGAGCTGTGTTGGCAAAGCCTCTTGAGATGCTCTGTAGGTCAGGATGTGCTGCATAAGAACAGGAAGGTTTTCATGCTTGCAGAGAGCCCCAGGTACTGTTTAGCTTCTGCACAAGGTGCTAACAAAGGACTACAAACAAGCCGATGCTCTCTGTGTGGGCTGGGATTTTTTCTGATTCAGAATGAAATGTAGGTGTTGTTTTTCATCCCTCAGGTTAGTTGAGGTCCATCTGGAAGTCTCTTCATCATTTTGGAGTCCTGAAGAGGTTACAATGGTGCCATTTAACTGGCTACCACTTGGGATTTTTAATGGTGTTTGGGAGCAGCCCTCCAAGTGGGGTATCTCTTACTTTATTCAGATTTTATGTTTTCTTCTACACACAAAGTACCCAAAGCTTTTATTTTTAAATTGGGGCTGAAATTCTGCTTAGAAACACAGTCACTTCAAAGATATGCCTAGATGATGGATAGGCTCACAATTGCTGCTGTTGACCTGTAATCATGTGAAAAGGATATTTTTGTTTATTCTTCTCCTTATATGAGCTGCAGTTGCATGTCTGTAATATCCAGGTTTGATTTTTACCAGCTCATCTTCCTGAAAAGAGGACTGAGCTGGTTTCTTTGCTGACAGCTACAGTGCTGACCAAACCTAAATCCATTCATCATCGTTCCTTAAATTACAGGAAATGCTCCTTCCAATACTGCACACTGATTTTAAAATTCTCTTGCTCATATACATTCTTGGCTGGAAATACACACGTGATCTTCTTTTGCTTCAAATTCCTGGCCTCAGCCCACTTCTGCAGCTGGTTTATTCACTGTCCAAAAATACTGGCTAAGGGATCTATCTTTTATTTTGTATATATTTGGTCTTGGGTTTTTTTTTTTTAACAGGAATCTCTGCTCCTGCCAGCTGACTTTTGTGCCTGTGGGACTATCAGTATTTTTAAACCAGTTGCTTCACTGTTTGATTTGGTTTTTGAGTTGTACTGCCTGTGTTCCTGTCTCGGCTTTGGGCTGTTGTTGTACAGTTGGACTGAGGAGAAAACCATTGCCTTAAACCGAGCATCCCTTCTCCAGTCCCCTCTTGTCATGTAAAAGGGTCAGAGCAGCATAAGTGGGCTTTGATTTCTTCAGTTCCATTAGTAGGTGGATTCTCTTGACATAAATACAATAAAAGGTGGCTGTGGAGTTGCCTACCAGGAGATCTCATGCAGTCACTGTTTTAGACATGGGCCAGGGTGGGCTTGGATTGCCCTGTTTATTGGAAATCCCAGGCACTGCTTGAGCTCATAAGTGCAAGGCTTGGGACCTGGAATTCTAGATTCCATGCTTACTAGTGCTTTTTTGTTTGTATTTAGTTTTATTTTGCAGAGAAAACACAGGTTATTGCTGAGAGTTTGAGTTTTCCTTCTTCTCTGGAGATTCATAAATAAAAACAGATAGATTTTGCAGGTGCTTAATTCTGATGTTGCATTAGTGGCCTTTCCTGTATGTTTAAAAAACGAATGTTTTGAATGGCATGGATTTCATGGATGGAGGTTATCTGCAGCACAGGTTTGTTTCTGGATACCCTGCTTACAGTGCAGGTTATAGCTGCTTCTGTGGTGTTTTAATTGCAAGGAAGACACATGCTGAAGAAATGTCTGCTGTGTCCCCATCCTCAGGAATGTTTGAGGCCAGGGACAAAGCAAGGGTGGGAGAGGGTAGATGGAACATTTGGGGTGTTTGGTGCTGACCCTGGTTTTGTTCTCCACTGCAGCCCGGGGCCAGGTGGGAAGAACTGTCGGGGGGCCAGCGTGGAGCACACAGTGTGTGAGAACCTGCCCTGCCCCAAAGGAGTGCCCAGCTTCAGGGACCAACAGTGCCAGGCCCATGACAGGTACACCAACAAGAAGAAAAGCCTCCTGACAGCTGTCATCGTGGATGGTGAGTTTTTTCATCTCCCTCTGTAATTCCTCACTGTTCTTTCACTACAGTTTCTCATCTGCAGGGCTCCCATTGTTGGTGAGAAGGCTGCAATAGGCCCCCTTCAGCTACAGCTGAAAGACTAATTACAGTTAATTGTTCTTGGTGTTGCCCTGCTGTTCCTTTAGCCTTCTTAATAGAACATAGAGTTGGCAATGCTTTATGCATCTTTTTGAAATGCTGGGAGAAAAGTGCATTAACTTGATTCCCAGTCTGAAGCTGGGAATTTCACACTGGGAGTCAGAGAGTTGGGAATTTAAACAGTACAAAGTTGCAGTTAGTTTGGAACTGAAAAAAAACAAAAAAAGGTGGATTCCCTGTGACATTTTTAAATTTATGTCACTTTGGGGCATCTCAGCATGATTGCCTATCTCACCTAGTCCTTTAATGCTTCCTCTGCTGGATCTTGCTGTTCATTTGCTATTCAACCAGATGTTGGTGGGATTTGAAATGGTCTAGAGAACTTATTCTTCTAAAATCACTGGCTATAGCCTGAATTTTGTGAGACACAATGACTTAATCATTCTTATCAGACTGATGAATGTTCCCTGTAACAAACATCATCCCTTCACAAACAGATGCACAAAAGTGTATTGACTAATTGGTTTTCTGTGTTGTTAAAGCCCAGTCTCATCAATGTAACCCTTGAAACAGTGATATTTTACAGTGGGGAAATGACAGGCCTAAACTGAAAACCCCATGTTCCTTCAAAGATGAGATATCCAAATCCATTAATGTAGAGAATGCATCACCATTGCCTCAAACACTTGTTTGTGCTGTTCCCAAGGGTGGTTGTTATATTTCTTTTCCCAGATAAGCCATGCGAGCTTTTCTGCTCCCCACTGGGCAAGGATTCTCCGGTGCTGGTGACAGACAGAGTCCTGGATGGAACTCCCTGTGGGCCTTACGAGACAGACCTCTGTGTACATGGCAAGTGCCAGGTGGAGTAGCTTTCTCTTGTTCTATTTCTAGTGTTAGGTTCAGTCTGGGGCAGCACTGTGTGGGTGGCTGGGAGGCTGTCCCTGAGGGGAGGGGACAACCCTGTTTTACCAGATCCACTACAAGTGCTCCATGGCCCTGTGTATTGGTCTGAGAATTGTGCTGAATGCTCAAGGTATGATATTATGACTGCACAGCTGGGAGTGCTCAAAAATCACATTTGCTTGTGTGCATGGCTTGGGTGGGAAGGGACTTCTGTGAGGGGAGCAGATTGGAGGGGAAGTCTTTCCTGTTTAACTGCTCTTTTTTGGCTATTGGAGGAATCACTGATAAAGCACTGAAGCTGCAAATCAGCTTACAAATTGTCACTAGCCTGTTACAAGCATTATCTTGCCAGAATCATGATGCTTTTCAGTCCACCTGGTTCCTTTTTAGAAATACTGAGGGAGCTTTTCAGTACCAGTTGCTTCTCGGCTCCTGCAGCTACATGAGCCAGTCTTCAGATAGAATTCCCTTTCCCTTAGAGTGGTGGCCTATAACTATTGCAATGATTATTTCTCTCTAACCAAATTACACAAAGACCCAAAATGAGGTGTGGGAGATCTCTGTAATAAAATTAATGGTTTGCTGAGAGTTTGTAATGTATTGAATACTAAGGAGGGTAGCTGTTAGAGCTGGTGCTTCAGGTCCCTTAAAAATTGAATGGAGTTGTGTAGACCCATTTAAGATGGAGATTTAATGTTTGGACAAGGGAAGGGAGATGAGAAAATGTGTATTTAAAGATCATAAAAGACAGGAAGTTGTTTGGAGTTGCTCCTGGGGATGGGTTCAGGTCATTTGTCACGGACACTTTGACAGGGCAGACTCTTCATGAGTTTCCTTTTTCCTGATCATGGAACACGTGTTCAAAGTGTGCTGCACACACCACAGTGGTGGAAAATGCAGTTCACTTGACTACAGCAGCCTTACCAGGGCTGGATTCTTCCTGGCAGTTCTTCCCTTTAAGTTTCTCCTTATCTAGGTTTGTATCCTGTGGTAGGAGTTGATCTTCCTGGTATTAACCAGCACGCTGTATCCACCAGAACAACTTTTTAGCATCACCCTTATTTCCACTAACTTCACTGGTTTTCCCTGGGGGCACAGGGCACACCAGATTTGGCATTATTTCTCATTTCTGTGAATGGTTAAGAAATGCCAATTTTCATTGCTTTGAGCCTTCCAGTTGGGGAGATAAATGAACACAATACTCACCTGAGTGTGAGAGAGGCTTTGGGGGCATAAAGCAGCTTTACTAATAGCAATGCAAAGAGAGAAGTGAAAAATCTTTGGACTGAATTTTGCACTGCTGCAGGAGACACTTCCCACTTTTTCTTAACAAATGATGCTGAAGAGACATTTTTAATTCACTCTTTCTAATTTATTCCTATGAATAGCAACAGTCTGGGGAGCCAGTACAAGTTTGATTCTTTATAATACAAAGTGCTTTTCACATAGAGCCAGGTTCATGGGGCATCCCAAGTTACTTAATTTTTCCCTGTTTTTGGCTGTATCTGAAAAAAGCTAAGAAAAACCCCATTAATAACCTTTTATAGTCAGGCCAGCTGTGCATCTCCAGCTGTGTGCCATTGACCATTACTCTGGGCTGGCCAGTTTCATTGCTTCAAACCTTCAGAACTGCCACAAATGGTAAATCAGACATCATGGCAAGGAATGCTTCTTTCATCCAGGAGGGATCAGTAGCCAGCTCCCTCCAAATGAATTCCTTTATGAGCACAGAGCACTGGAGGTACATCACGAAAAGCAAATTGCACTCTGAGTCGGGGGCAACTGCCTTTAACTGTGCAGAGAGGTGATGACAGCTGCAGAACATTCAGTCCATTTGCATCTGGCTGAGAAAAAACTTGAAATGATCAGTTCAAGCCGAGCAGATTTGAAAGCCCTGTGAACTCATTTATAATACTTCTCTGCCATGTATGCAGTGCTGAGAATTGCCATATGTGCCTGTGTACCCCATTTGCCACAGATACTTGTCTAACTAGCTGCCTATTAAACCAATTTAATTGCCATATTCATTTAATTACTCCTCTCCTTGTTTCTTTATCCAGCGTAGACAAAGCCAGGCAATAAGCATTGCAGGGGGCCTGGAGAAGAGAATAAGTGCTGAAATCAGAGGGTGGTATTACTGTTATTTATTTTCTTATGTAATCCTTCTAGTTAGAGGCTCTCAAAGGCAGGAATGACACATTGTCAGTGCAACAGACAAATTAATAACCATTGCCTGTGAACATCTAGCCCAGGAAATGTAATAGATCTTCTCTCTTCATTAGATGCTCCTAAATGCAGCTCTTGAATCGTCCTTGGATGATGAATGAATGTAGATGAACGTGGCAGAGGAGAAACTGTTACAAGGAGAGGAGGGTTTTGAGAAGGAAAGCAGGAACAGATTCTCTGAAGTCTCAAAATGCCCAAATATTTGGGCACTAAGGGAATTTTCCTTCAGTTATACTTTGTGAAGTTACTACACTTTCACTTTAAAGCTGAACTCCAATCTAAAAGGTGTCAGTGAAGCCTGTGGTGTCAGCCTCACTATCCCTGACACAAAATCATCAAAAACAGCAGCATCCCTGTATTTTTCCCTTACACCTGAAGGCAGCTGGAGTGAGTAAACTTGGTTATTACTTTGATCTTGCATAGAAGCACCAAAGAGGAAAGTCAGCCCTAAATTTAGCATAGGGGTTCTTAAATCACCTAGACTTTTTCTAGCCTTACTCCTTGTTTTTGAGATTAATCATAAGGTCTTAATTCAATTTCTTCCTTGTTGATTTGTTTTGGAGGAACATTTCAAATACACCATTTCTTACCACCCTCTGGGTAAACTAGATCCCTGTTCAAAGTGTATATAGGTCTTTGACCTTTTCTCCTCAAAATGCAACATGGTCTTCTAGGAAGGAGAATTTATTTTCTCCAGAGATTTTTCAGAGACAGAAAATCTGTAGCAGGCTGGAGAACAAGAGTAGCCTGGTGTGTTGGAGGAGGGTGAGTGCTTATTTAGGTTTTGCAGCAGTTTGCTTTCCCTGTCATGGACACTGCAGCCATGGGGAAGGTGCAATAGGGCACCTGCACCCCACACTGGGTCCATTTTCTCCTATTTCTCTTTAAGTGACAAATGGCTTTCAGGGAGAGGATTCCCTTGGGGTTTTGTTCTTCCCTGGGCCTGTGAGGTGTGTGTTTGATGAGAGAACACTCATGAGAGCAGGGCACTTTCTAACCCCTTACAGCTAACCCCTCAGCTTTGCTCTGTGCTGTTGAGGTTAATTCAAAACTGCTGGCAGTAGTGAAGCTAAAAAAAGTGTCAGATGTCACAGAGCAGAGGGGCGAGGAGAAGACAAGCTGCTCAGCTGACTGTTACGATGCACATGACCTTGTGCTGGCTTTTCTCAAAGGAGGATTAGTCTGAGCCTCATGACAGCATGAGAACTTTCCAGTGAGGACTACAGATTGTGCTTCAGGATGTAATCTAAGGACTCTGTGAAAAGAGAGACCTCCTGTACAGCAGAACTGGGCTAGAGATCAAGGGCAGTCTTTGCTGTGATTTAACAATTTAAGAGGTGAAGATGTTTTGGCTCTGCCTGCAGTTTTCTCATGAGTGTTTTGTCATATCACACCTCCTTTCAACTGGCTGGTGAATCCACAGTATGTTTAATGATAATAAACCACATATTAGACTGTCCTGGTACAACAAAATTGTTACAGAACTACTTTCTTCTGAAAGTGATTGTCACACTCTATGAAAGGGGAGCACAAATTGGAAAATGGACAGATTTTCAAAAACAGCTTCTGCAAACTGGACAGGCAGAGTGTCAGGAGAGTGCCACAGGTGGCAGAGGAGAAATTGATGTTGTCTACTGGATCTGCTGCTGGCAAACAGTTTTTTGCATACTTAGTACCCACTTTTTGTATTTGATTGATGCCTGCAGTTCTGGCTTTGTCTCCTCACTTGAGTATTTTCCATGTATTATTCATATTCCTGCATTACAAACTGTGGTACAAGATGTTCCAGACTGGGTAGCTTGTCTCCATACAACAACTTGGCTTAGCACTGAACTTTGATAAATTATTTAGTGCATGTGCACAAAATCCAGAAGGATTGTCTGAACTACAGAAACCTGTTGTATAATTGCATTTTTGTTGGTTTTTTTCCGTGCTGGATCTGTAGCAATGTAATCTGAGGTTATAAAGAGTATCAGGGATTTTGGTGAGTAAGGCATAGTGATAAAACCAAGTCTTTGTCAGTAGCTAACTAGTCTGTGGTGTACTTTGCAGTGGGGTATGAAGAAATACCCCATGCTATTTCCTCCAATTTTTCTTCCATGTTATCCCATGGAAAGCATGTAATAGAACAGAAGCAAAGGAATTCCTGGGATGGGAAAGAGCTTTGTATTATTTGCATGTTCTCTCATGAACACAGAGGTTTTAACACATAACCTTCAATATCTGTATGTGAAAAATCAAGAATCATTGTGTCTAACACCCCCATGAGCTGCTGAGGGATCTAAGCACAAAGTCAGCGGCAGGTGACATTGCAGATCTAGTGCAGATGAGATAACGCTGATTTAAAATAGGAGGTGTCTTAACTCCTGATCCAGCAGAGCTGCTCTGATCAGACAAAATCTGAAGGCCTGGGAAATGACAGGATATTTGCTGAACTAACTCCTATGTGGACTCCAATCTTTAGCACAAAATTTGTTGTGGAACAGAAATTGGAGATGAGCTCAGAGATGAGCTGCTTGATTAGGGTCCCAGACTCACCTCACCCAGCCCTGACAGCCACCCACAATCCTCCACAGGGGCAGTGTTTAAAACAAGGAAATAAGAATTCTCTTCCCCTCAGATCTGAATGTCACTTGCTCACATCTGTAAATTCCTGTTTCATGTGGTCCATCCCTGGAGGTATCAGTGGACATTGGATATTATGGACAAAAAGAGTTGGCAGTGTAGACAAATCTGTCATAACCAGCCTGCTTTGTACATGATTAATTTGTAAAGTGGCACACGTTGCACCAATATTTGTATTTGATCCATTGAGACATCCAGTTAGTTCAACATATGGGAAGCATTACAGTTTTGTGAGTCTACAATGTCATTTCTTGAACAGAGTGGGTGTATATAACAAAAATAATTGTATTTATGTAGCAAAACATACCCTCACAAGCTGTATCAATTGAGCTCTTTCACAGCCATTGAAAATACAAATAAAAATATCATTAAAAAATGTCCAAGCAATACAGAGAATAGTTCACACAGAAGAATCCAAGTGATATGTATTCAAAAGAGAAGAGTTTTCCTATGCTGGAGCCAGCTATGACTGAAGCTGGAAATACCACCCAACAAGCTGTACTTTCAGATGTTTAATTATAAAAATGAGAAGAAGCGGGGGGAGAGAAGGAAGGGTAGATGGAGATATCAGCTTAAAGAAAATTAATTTCAAGCCTTTGGCTCAGCAAATGTGCAGTTACCTGCCAATTTAAAGGTCAGTGGCTAGTTCCAAAGTGTGGTGTCAGAGCAGGAGACCGCCTGGGTGGAAAAGCCTTAAGAAACCTGTGGATACGTTTCTGACTGTCCATGCTGAGGACTTGAAGCCCTAAAAGACTTATTTTCATGTTTCTTGCCAGCATTCCCATGTTTTAAAGCTGCTTCCCATCTCACCAGTCCATTCAAGACTGACAGAACTGAAAGTATCCAGCAATTGCTGGATGGCCTGGTCCATGGACTCCATCTGCTCATCTGCAGGATAACTCTTGGGTCAGAAAACACACGAGATGTTACTGTTATTTACAAGGTCTTTCTTCAGAATGTAAAGCTTGCCCTTTCTGCTTCTTAATTCAGTAAATCCACTTACCTTGATTGGTTTGACTGGACAGGAAGCAACACAAAGCAAGTGAGAGATGGCAAAGATCAAACAACTCCCTTGAACTACTTAGGTTTTAAGGGATTCTTTCTGCACTCTGAAAACTTGACTTTGGAGCAGTGAAACTTGGGATTTTCCCTTTGCATATGGTTAATTAATCCTTCACATTTTGGAAAGCTTTCAGCAGGCTGAGGACAGCTCTGTAGTTAAAGGATGGGCAGTGTAATACACGGAGCACATTTTCAGTGTGAAGCTGCTGATGCACACAATGGTTTTTCCAGCCAGTGCTAGAATCTCAGGGGCTTTCACACCTTGGAGAAATCTCTCAATTAAGAGCCCAAGGACTGCTGGCAGGTACTTTGCATCCACAAAGGTGATAGCCACTGTGTTCTGCCCTTCCAATCCTGTCTCTTCCCCTTTGATCCACTGATCCACTTGTTTTAAGAGTGGTCATTGTGGTGGTTTTAAGAGTATTTTCCATGTGGGGAGTTCTCAAAGGATCAGAGTGACCAAGGTGGTCACTGCAATGTGTTTCTAAATGACTTGGCAGCTTTTGGAATCCACTGTCAAATCTTACCCAAAGCTCTTTCATTATGTACTATTATTAAATGTGCTGCTTTTAAATGCACTTTCAGTTTGGAAATTATTGGAAGGCTTGGGGAAAGGGAAACGGGCTCTAATGTTTATGTAGACAACACTAAAGTACTTCCAAGGTATTTTTCCCCCATAAAGTAGCAAGAATGCACCAATTTTCCTCTTGAAGCCAAGATAATAAAAAAGTGGTTTATTCTCTTAGAGATACTCTCTTCTAAGAAGCCATTTCCTGGCCCAAACATGATGGGGGCTTCAAGTCTCAAGGCCTGGATTGAGGGAAGTCTGCCCCGTGGATGGGAGCAGTGGTGCCATTGAAGAGGAGGGTGCAAGGGCCATTCCCAGTTCCTTCACTCACAGGGAACAGGATGAGGATGAAAGGTGAAAACCAGCAAAGCTATTGGGAGTTACATTTGTGGATTCAGTGGGTTCTTTCCATGCCCTTCAGAGAGGGCCTCTCAAGTCAAGGGTGTCAGTGACCAAGTGAAGGTGTGAGGAACTGGCTTGTCTTGAAGCCCAGTGTCAGAGGGGGCACTCGGCCTTCCCAAGCTTTGCTGGCTTACACTGGTTCCCATTATCTGGGAAACTCCAGCGTAAATACAAAGCATGTGATTGCCAGCTCCCCATTCTTTCCCTGCCTCTGTTAGAGTCCTACAGACTCCTCATGTAGCTCTGGGAATAAGTGTGGTTCAACACTCATTATGTTTCCTTTATTCATCTGTGTGCTCACATAGTGCTAATAACAATGCAGCACAATAAAAGATAGCACCAGAGCCTTAAATTAAACACAGCCTTTCCAGTATCTCAGCAGGGTGGCAGGCAGGCGTTTATTTCCAGCTGCCTTTCAGCAACCCCATTAATAAATCATCCTGATTTTCCTGGAAGGAGAACTGCTGGGACATCCTTCTGTTCTGGGGGCAGAATCACGTTCAATATCCCAAAATTATTTGTTGGACACAGGCGTGAAATTTAGGCTTGAGAATTGCAACTGCCAGAAACTCCACGATCTTCTTCCTACCTCTTTTAACTCCCATTTATACATTTATACAGGTTTTTTCATGCTGTTCCTGTGCACCAATCTAGGTGCTGTGCCAGGTAATGCCAGTATTTCCCTGGTGTGTGTTTAGGATGATCATCCTCTCTCAGCATGTCTGTCCCTAATGATTTAACCAGACAAGCTCTGCATCAGCACACAGTGGAACACTGGCAATCTTTGATCCCTAAAATACATCTGGACTCATGCAGTGGCCAGGGTCTTCTGAAACCAGGGGAATGTTGGAGTTCTCATCCAAATTGAATTGCTTACATGCAGACAGGCTCAGATAAACAGCCCAAGTTCTTTTAATATTTCCCTGCCTACCCTAGTTTTCAAAATGTTTGTTGTTTTGATCATTCCCTAAGATATCTCTCCAACTTTCCTCTGGCTTCATCATAGGAAGACAAAGAAGGGAGGGACCCAACAGTCTTATTCAGTAAGTCTTACTAGTGACAGTCCTGCTACTCATTTGCCAAAAAACTGTTTATCTATACAGAATAAATCTTAAACTAATTTTTAATAGTGCAATCTCTGCTAATAACTTGCATAATGACAATGCTTATTTAATTGAAATTTATGTTGTAAGAGTGAATTGCTGATCATTTTGAGGGTCTTACATGGACAGAATACAATTTATATAGATTAGTGACAGTGTTGTCAGCCTCAAGATCTACAAATGTGGAATGTTCACCATCATAACCTGTGAATGCTTTGTGAATAAGGAAGATTATGGTGATAATCCCAATAGCTACAGGAAGAATATTGTGACTCTTCCCATGTGTGGAAGCAGAACTGTAGGTTTTTATTGGAAAAAAATTAGGTATGTGTAGAAAATGATAAGAACCTTTTATAATGAAGCTTTAGGTGAAACTTAGATTTTATAGTTCATTTTTCAATTCAATTTGAATTGAATGTTGATTCTTATTACAGTGCAAGCATGTGGAAAATTTCATAATTGCATAGGCAGTCATGTGATAGAAATTGGCCAAGTATGAAACTGACCTGCTTCCATTGAATCACTCTTTCATTTCAGGTATCATGAGCCATATGAATAATGAGGTCTTTTTTCAGGTATTTCGAAAGTTTAATTAAAAGTTCAATGTTTCCTCCCCATTCAGGTTTTCAGTCAGATGCCAGTCTTGACCTCACTGTTCAGAGATGCTCTAACCTTGCAAACAAAGTAATGGGGGTCTCTGGTTGTTGTCATTAGAAACTTGGATGTGATGGGATCATTGGCTCGGCTGCCAAAGAGGATCGCTGTGGGATCTGCAGTGGCGATGGGAAAACCTGCAAAGTGGTGAAAGGAGACTTCAACCACACCAAGGGCATGGGTGAGTAACACTCAGTGGGGTTCTCTTACCTTCTAGAGGAGAATTGGGGTACCAGTAACAGCTCTTCTTCTTGGATTGAACTGGAGTCACCTAGCAAAAACAGACCTAGGAAGCACCTGAGAAATGCAAAACAAACCCCAACTCACTTCAAGTGTGAAGCCCATCTGCTTCTTACTCAAGTCACCCAGATACCAGCCACCGCCTCTGCCTGAAATTCAGAGTGAAGTTGTGTTTCTCATTTTGAGTGCTACTGGTGCTGATGATTTTAAATAGGAGACAAAATCACAGAATCTTTCCCAGTGGGAGGGAAGTTGGATTTCAGCACCATCTTTGATGTCTCAGAATGATGCATGTTGCATGTTGTAGATGATTCATGTTATAATCAGAATATCTCAGCTAAAGGAAAGAGCACTGCACTCCCCTCTGAATATTTTTACTAATTCCCTGCCAGCAAAAATATCCAGTATAGGATATAGGAACTTGGAATTAAGACTTCCTTTCTTGTTAAACTTTAATGTATGTACAGCTTGATGTTTGAATTAGTCTTTGTTCCAGGGTTTCTGTACTACACTTCTGAGAACCCTGTTATCACACATCCTAATTAGCCAAAGGGATGGAAAGCCATGTCCAGAACTTGGAAGCTTCTCCAGGAGGAAACAATTGTCCAGAAAAAAAAATTATTTCCCATTCAGCGAAGACAGAACTGATATTTCTGTGTGGAGAAATATATTCAACATGTGCTGCTCCAGGACTGAGTTCCACAAAGCACATGAAAATCCCCTTTAAGCACCCACTTCGATTCAGTTTAGTGGCTAAAGGAGCACCAGTGCTTAGCAGCTCCCTTTAGTCCAGGTCTCAGCTCTGAAGTCTGAGGCTCTGATTTTGTTCACTGACCTCTTCCTCTGCACCCTCCTCCTCCTCACCTGCAGGGCCAGCTGGGATCTGTCACCCTCTGTGAGATGCAGGTGGGATTTCCCACCTGCACCACATCTCTCTGGCGCACATTTTCATGCTTGGCCAACCTGTTGAATGGTTTCCTGCATTAGTGCTTTTGAATCCTTTGTCCCAATTATTTTCCACCTACTTACATCAAGTCTTTTGCATTTGATGCAAGTGGTGGGAAAAATCCCTCATTTCCATTGAAAAAAACCCAGCTATTCTCCATTTCTGTAGCAGGTTATACAGCTTTCATGGACTTCTTAAATGCTGCTGAAGAGTAGCTATCTTTTATTTTTTCCATTGAGTCTACAGAACATCTTGTGCAGATAAATATTAAATTTCTGGGTCACTGCCAGGAGGTTGCACCCGTTTCCAGCTACACAGACTATTTGAGGTGGTGACTTTACAAGGTTGTAGGAGCAGAGCAGCTTCAGCCTTAACTGGCTGCCAGGACTCTGCAGGAGGTTTTCACCCCCAGTGCCCTGGAACCTAATCAGAAAGAATTTCTGATGACTTGTGGACAATGTTCAAGCATTTGGATTCTCTGCCAATCACCTCAGATGCACAAACTTGTCAAACTGTTGCTTTGTCAATGCATTGTTTGTGAGTGCAATGTTTCCACCTTTAGCCATTTCACATAATCTAGAAGATAATTGTTTTTATCAGTATAACCTCATAACCATTTATTAGATGTTTTGTTTTATTTTCAATTTAATTTGGAAAGTTGATTACATTTTATTTGTGCTCCCATCCATTTCTGCTCCCACGATGCTGTTTTGCAGAATCAGGTCCTCAGGTGAACGCACTGAATTTCATGCAGTAAGCAAAGCTCCAGGTCTGGGGTATCACAAGTGAACGTGACATTACTCAAGGGAAAAAATAAAAGGCTTTTTTTTTTTTTTTTAATTGACAGTTAAGCAAAAATGTGTAAAAATTTGGTGGAAGCTGGGGAAAATAAAGATCCACAATATTCTGGTGATAACAAATTCAAGGTTTGGGTGTGTAAATGATTGTACAGTTCAGTGGCAAATCCCCATGACCTGGCTGCTTTCCAAGTCAAGGCCAAGACCCAGAGTCCAGTGTGCTGATTTATTATTTCAAAAGAGAATAGACTTCAAACACCAAGACATTGATTGATTTGGAGTGGTATCTGTTTGGGGAATCACAGCTGCAGCCTTAGGCCTTGGCTCTGCCCATGGGACCCCTCTGACTGCAGGATTAGTCCCTCTGGGTCCTATGATTGCAAATGATGTTGTGGAGCCCTGTGAACTGAACTAAACCCCTGCCAACTCCTTTCTGTTTCTTAGTAACCAATAGTCATTGTAAGAAGGTTTCCACATGTGTGATGGCAAAGGCAAAGGCTGTTCCCAAGTGTTTCTCGTGTAAGATACTTGAATGCTGTTTGCAGTGTCAGTGGGTGTTGGTGAAATCCTTTGGTGTTGGTTCTTTATCTTCTTTTTGTCGGATTAGATGGGGAAGTTTGGTATCAAAAGCCATGGATAAACTTCAAGTCCTTTTACTGTTTCACTTGCCTTATCAGAGATACAAAGTACAGATCCTTTCCTTTTAGGGAACCTATCAGTATTAAAGGAAGCCAAATTTTCATGCACCAAGCAAAAAGAACCAGGTCTATTTCTTCTTTTCCCCTAACTTTAATGTCACAGAGGTTCTGCCACCCTGGTGGGAAAGATGGTGGAAGGTTCAAAGTGCCTCACAGGAGCCCAGCAGTTCAGCTCTTACCACCTGTGATCCAGGGTGCTCCAACTGGAAATGGACTTCATTTTTCTGCTGGAGAGAGGAGGTCAAAAGCCTTTATTTATGATGCTAAATATCACATACACTTGTGTGCAGCTGGCTGTCTTCAGCAGGCCAGCTGAATGCACTGTTTAGACTGAGGTTTCCTTTCGACTGGCAGCATGCCCTGTACCTATTTCTACAAAATAATTTTTCAAAACCAAACACAGAGTTGTTCTGAAGTCCACCTCATTCACCCTGCCCCTGTACAGGGGACCTAGAAATAAAGGACAGCTCTTTGACTCTTGCCTCTTGGGGAGCTGATTTATCACAGACAGATTCTCCAAGGCTGTGCCTGTAATGTTCAGAGACCTGGGTCTGTCTCTCTTGATTTTTCTCAGCCACATCAAGATTTTCATTTATGATTGTGATTCAGAAGAATTTTTGGTTATAATTCAAAAGAATGACCACAGATATTTGTGTTTGTTTTTTTTTTTAAGATATGCCAGTTGTAACTATCATTTTGGGAAAGGAAAAGTACATTTTTGCTAGGAATTTTTCTTTTTAAGATGGTGGAAAAGTAGGGGTTTTATTGCATATGCTATTTGTCCAGCACTTATTAAAAGAAATTTGTCCAATAGTGCTGTCATGCTGGCTGGGAGCATCTTTAGCTAACACAAAAATATAATTTTTTATCAATAGGGTACGCATGTAAATTACAAGAAAATAGAACTCTACCTAATCTTTAATTCAGAGATCCCTTATAAGGGTTTCATCAGAACATGCAGGTTAGAAATCCCAGTAACCAACAGCAATGGCAGAAGGCCTTGAAATTCATCCATGGTTCTTCAGACAAATGATTTTCTTACAAATGAGCTATCCCATGGCTGGAAGCGGACAGGTGCTGATGCAGGATTTATTCTCGAGCTAAAAGCAAAGGAGAATCATCACAGCTGTTCAGAAAATAGACACATAATTTGCACTCCACTGCAATGAGTAGCACTCAGCAAAAGCTGGAATGTGGGAAGGATGAAGTCTGGGATGCTCAGCTGATGCATATCCCTGAAATTCCATGGAAGCTATGCTGGCCTTGGCTGGCAGGTAGGCAGGACAGCCCGACCTCCTCGCCTTCTACCCTGAGATGTTTGTTCTTTTGGGAGGCTTGATAATGGGCTGGGCATTGCTGATTTTCTTACACCTGATTTTGGTGTGTACAGGGATTGGTACTTTCAGCCATGGGATAATTTTTCCTTCACCTTGGAGTCCGTCTTCTACTGCAGTGTGGACCAGAAGAGTTTTGCAGTAGATCAGTGGCATTCTGAAATTCACACTAAACTTTCTGTTCTTTCTGGGAGTAGTAACAATGGCTAACAATGGATTTTTCTGTGTGAGCTGCTTTCCTCTTGCAAATCTCTCCAGCATTTAAATGAAGATACAGTAGCCACTGTTCACATATTAATCTCCTTGATGACAAAGCCACCTCTTTGTTCTGGTGTCTCTCCTAATACGAGTTATACCATAAAATTTGTATCTCGGATTTGCTTCAATCACAGTCTTACATTCCTGAGACACTGATGTAATGCAGATTATCCAGAAAGATTGGTGTGTGCCAGAGTAACTGTTCCCAAGGTGGAGTATACTGCGTACAGCACTATAAATTATCAAATAATGAAGTTCTCCTGTTGTATTTTCAAAGCTTCATCTTAGCAGGCTGATTTATGGGTGAAATTACTAAAAATACTGCCTGATAGTTGCCAAATCTCATCAGTCTTTAAGCAGTTCCTCATTTAAAGCAGAACTTTAAGCTCAACCTTACAAACCCTGGCCTTGCAGACAATTATCCTAAGACCTAGAAGAGCTTTTAGAGTCCTTGACTCAGGGCCAACTCTGAGACTTTTTTTTTTGTCATTCTAGCTGACACTTGATAATCTTTCTGGCAATCTGCAGTTACAGTTTGCTTAATAAAATGTGCCTGGAAAACACTGGAGGTGTTTCCTGGTGCAGTTATCTCAAAGATCAGGAATCTGTGACCAGAAGCCTTCCACCAGCTCTGTGGACCAGAGTGCAGTGGTGGAGGTGATCCAAGTTTGTACCTGTGGCAAATTTGCATGGGTGATATCCAGTCTGTTTGCAGCAGAATTCAACCACTAACTCCCCCAACATTGCTGGAGATAACAAATGAGAGTGTCCAGATGCTCCTGCTGGGACATGCCCAAGGGTTCTGCTTCACCTCTGAGAGGACAGGTCAGATCCAAACTGCTGCAAAGCATTTGGCAGTTCTCTAACAAGAGAGTGAAGGTCAGCAGTCAGGTTTGTGGCACAGTGAG